TGGCGTGCCGTGAATGTCATTATTTCGATGTTTTGATATTAAGCGATTATAATGTGTTTATCTTATACTGTCTTGTGAGATTATATTATGTAATTAATGTTGTCCCCACATGTATGTTTCAGTTTCCACCCTCGGTGAGAGAGGTTTGTAAGTTTGACCAATAAACTTTTCCGAAAATTTGTTGCGTCGTGAACACACTTACAGTGGAAATCTTGGGCACGGCTTTCTTCACTCTCTCTTTTCACTATGGCTGATGGATCTACTAAAGAGGTTTCAAATCCTGAGAAGACCCATGACTTACTGAAAGACAGAGAGCTCACTGAATTTGGATCTGAACAATATATTCAGACTGTTATATCATATTCAAAGAGGCTATCACAGTCCCAAGTCGAAATTGATAACATTTGCGAGTTTGTCGCAAAAAATCCAGTACATCTCAGAGATGTGAACAGCATCATAAACAAATTGGAACAACATATCAGTGAGTTCGAGAAATTATGTTCCAAATTCTCTACTTACCTGAGTACCCTAAGAACATCAGACAGTATTCAAGAGAATGCTAAGTGGAAAGCAGTTTTGGATAGTACAAAGACTAAAGTACATGATGTTATCAAGCGTATTAAGGTTCCAAGAAAGTCTTTATCTACGACAATGTCTGGGCGACTCAGTCAGCGCTCCAGATTATCAACCTTTCTCTCACAGGAAGGCACAAAACAACTAGGTGAAGCTGTGTTGAAACATTCAGAACGCCTCTCTACAGCCAAGGCTCGCCTCAAGTTTGCAGCAGAAGAAGCCGCACTCCTCAAACAGGAAGCAGAGCTCATCGCAAACAAGATGATTCTTCGCACAAAACGTGAAGTTGAAGAAGCCAAATGCAATCTTGAAGCGTTATACGATATGTCAGATCTGGGAGGAAGCTATGTTCCACCATCCATAGTTGAAGACAATCCATTTGAGGCTGAAATAGGACTTCAGCGCACAGAAGCTTACGTTGACTCGCAACAAGGTGATACAAGTTCCCCAAGTCAAGACCATCCTCCTGCCGAGGATGGAAGTGAATCTAGATTACCCCAGAGGCAGTTGGACATTGAAACAGAACATTTTAACCCCCAAGTCAACACAGCAGAACCAACATCATATTTTGGTCCCTCTGCGAACAGTGTCCAAGCAAACATCCCGAACACTACACAGTTCAATCAGCAAACACCTCAGATTGGGCATACTGACATGAACACATGCTCAGAATTTGCTAAAGTCTTTGCCAAGAAGGACTTAGTTTCAAAGATACACATCTTTGACGACAATCCAGAGAATTTTTCATCATGGAAAGCCTCATTCAAAAATGCAGTGAAGGAACTAAGTCTCACACCCATGGAGGAGATGGACTTGTTAGTGCAGTGGCTTGGAAACACCTCATCAGCGACCCAGGCAAAGAGCATCAGAAATGCTAATGCATCAAATCCAGACCGTGGGTTACAGCGTATATGGGATCGTCTTCATGACCGCTTTGCCAATCCAGAGGTTGTTGAGTCCACCATCAAGAGAAAACTCGCCAAGTTCCCTAAGCTAGGAAACAAAGACAATACAAAGTTATATGAACTCTTTGACATTGTGTCAGAAATTGACTCCTTAAAGGAAAATCCTGTCTACTCAACATTGCTCGCTTACTTCGATTCATCATCAGGTGTGAATCCCATTGTGGCCAAGTTACCTCATTACATCCAAGAGAAATGGGTGACGGAAGCAACAAACTACAAGTTGAGAACCGGACATCCATATCCCACATTTCCTGTGTTCGTGGCATTCTTGGGAAAGATCACAAGGATGAAGAATGACCCCAGTCTACAGTTTGACACCTTACATGACGCTAACAGAAGTGAACAGCAGAAAGTGTACCCAGTAAAGCTGCAAGGCCGTAAGAGCAACCCTACTGTGACTGCATTTAAAACACAAGTACAGAGCTCTGGAACTTTATTTAAAGACATTGCCTCTACGTTGGACAGGTGCCCTATTCATGAAAACTCTAAACACACACTAAATGAGTGTCGTTCATTCCGCGCCCGACCATTAGATGAGCGGAAAACATTCATAAAGGAAAAGGGCTACTGCTTTCGTTGCTGCGGGCCAAAGAAGCACATAAGGTCAAAGTGTAATGAGACTGTCCTATGTTCTGTTTGTAAAGGCTCTGATCACCCATCAGCCTTGCACAAAGATCCTGATATTACCTCACTGGCTGTGGAAACCCATGAGGGGGAGAGGCTACCAGTTGTTAGTTCCAGCTGCACTCAGATCTGTGGGAAGCCATTCAATACCAGCAAGTCATGTGCAAAGATCGTGAAAGCCCTTGTGTATCCAAAGCAGGAACGTGACCTTGCTAGATATATCTACTGCATCATTGATGATCAAAGCAGCAACACTCTCGCCACCTCCAAGTTCTTTGATTGTTTCCATGAATATGGTCCAGACCACCTGTACACACTGAAATCATGTTCCGGTGAATCTGTGAACAGTGGACGTAAAGCATGTGGATATGTGATAGAGTCCTGTGATCGATCACAAGTGTTTAGACTACCAGATATCATAGAGTGCAATGAGATTCCACAGAATCGCAGTGAGATACCATCTCCAGAAGTTGCAGCTAGCTACCCCCATTTCAGTGATATTACTGACTACATACCTACCATTGATGATAACATTTCGATTGAACTACTCATTGGTCGTGACCTTATTGACACTCATATAGTACTTGACCAACGTGTTGGCGTTCCTCTAGGCCAGAGACTACCCCTTGGATGGGTCCTGATTGGAAACTCCTGTCTCGGAACAGTTCACGAACAGACAGTTGTCACCGTCAACAAGACTGCCATACTTGCCAATGGTAGACCAACCTATCTAGAGCCCTGTGACAGTTCCTTTTGTGTGAAAGATGACCCAGTGTTTAAGCAAACAGCATATGATGAATGTGAAGGGCTGTCATTAGAAGACCAAGCCTTCTTGGATATCATGGACTCAGGATTCCAAATGTCTGAGTGTGGTAAATGGACAGCGCCTCTACCATTTCGGACCTGTAGACCCATTCTACACAACAATCGAGAAGCTGCAATGAAACGAGCTATTTCATTCAAGAACAGTCTTATACACAACCCAACCAAGGCAGCACACGTCTGTGAGTTTATGCAGAAGATACTTGATAGACAACATGCTGAACCTGTTCCCGTAACAACCAATGGCACAGAGAAATGGTACATGCCACTATTCAGTGTCTATCATCCCAAGAAGCCCAACAGCATAAGGGTAGTCTTCGATTCTTCTGCCAAGTATCATGGGTATTCCCTCAATGACGTTCTACTGAAAGGACCTCCTCTCTACAACAGTCTTCTGGGGATCCTACTCCGATTTCGGAAGGAAGCAGTTGCTGTTACCGCGGACGTTGAACAAATGTTCCACAACTTTTTCGTTACCCCAGGACATAGAAGTTATCTTAGGTTCCTCTGGCATGAAGACAACGACATCTCTAAACCGTTAATAGATTATCATATGAACGTTCACGTTTTTGGGAACAGCCCGTCGCCAGCTGTAGCCACCTACGGGCTGCGCAAGGCAGTCGAGAAAGCAGAGACAGATGTTCAGGACTTCATTTACAGGAATTTCTATGTCGACGATGGTTTGATTTCCTGCCGTACATCTGAAGTAGCCATTGACCTGCTTGTTCGTACACAACGCGTCCTACATGACAATGGGAAACTTAGGTTACACAAGTTTGCATCCAATAACAGAGGGGTGTTGGACTCATTTCCACAGAGTGAGCTGGCGAAGGATCTCTGTAACCTTGATCTTTGTAATGACACATTACCAATGCAGAGAAGTTTGGGACTCTCTTGGGACATTGAAACTGATCAATTCACATTTCGCACATGTAAAGACAAGAAACCATTCACCAGACGTGGAATATTGTCTGTAATTAACGGACTTTACGACCCCATAGGCTTTGCTGTTCCAGTCGTTTGAAAGGGAAGCTTTTGATGAAAGAAATTCTGTCCAGTACAACCTCCTTGGATTGGGATGACCCACTTCCTGAAGTGTTTAAAAACCCATGGGATGACTGGGTACAATCCTTAACTCAACTAGAACAAGTGTGCATTTGTAGACAGTACTTGGATCACTCATATACAGATTCCAGTGTTCGTCTTGTGCATGTATTCTGTGACGCATCGAAAGACGCGATCGGTGCTGTTGCATATCTACAGCTCTTTGGACCTGTTGGTTCAGAGCCTACACTCAGTTTTCTGCTTGGAAAGGGAAAACTTACACCTAATGGCGGCAACACCATTCCTCGGATGGAACTATGTGCTGCAGTACTCGGAGTCGAAGTAGCAGACATAATCAAGGAAGAACTTGGTATTCCATCAGAGTGCTTTAGATACTATACGGACAGCCAGATTGTCTTGGGTTATCTAACAAACACTACTCGAAGATTCTACGTTTATGTGTCAAACAGAGCGAAGCGTGTTCATTCATCTTCATCTCCGAGACAATGGACGCACGTTCCCACAGAGCAGAATCCAGCTGATCTGGCTACGAGATCAGTCTGTGCTACTCAACTTTCAAACAGTATGTGGTTGACTGGACCTCCATGTGAGACCCTGACAAAAACATTTTCAGAACCACCCTTATGTTATCCGTTAGTGGAACCAAACAACGACTGTGAGATTAGACCTGAAGTCACATGCAACAAAGTTCAGATGGATGATGTGAAACCTTTTAACCATAAGATCGGATCAGAAAGATTCTTGAAATTCTCAACATGGGAATCTCTTGTTCGAGGAGTCAAGATCCTGAAGCAATTCATATATAAATCAGTGAAACACAGTGACATTGACTCTAGTGAAGCATATGAACATGCATAACTTTATGTGATACAGACATGCCAGGGAGAAGCATATGATGATGCAATAAGATGTATCAAAGGTGGACGTCCCCTGCCGAACGGACACTCACTTATGGCCTTATCACCATTTATTGACCAACATGGCATACTCCGCGTGGGAGGTAGACTTGACAAAAACAGACAAGGAGATGACAATCTTCACCCTGTGATCATGCCCAAGAACCATTATGTCACCAGGCTGCTCGTGCGCAAATTCCACCACCAAGTGCTACATCAGGGACGACTGTTGACGGAAGGTGCACTTCGTTCTGGAGGATTCTGGGTAGTAGGTGCCAAAAATCTCATAAGATCAGAGATCAAATCCTGTGTCACATGTCGCAAGTTGAGAGGAAGTTTTGGTTGGCAGAAGATGGCAGATCTACCTGAGGACAGGATACAGCCTGCTCCACCTTTTTCTTATGTAGGTGTAGACACCTTCGGTCCCTGGACAACCACGCAACGACGGACCAGAGGGGGAACTGTGAATCAGAAGAGATGGGCTTTGATGTTTACATGCCTCGTTTCACGAGCAGTTCATTTGGAAGCCATTGAAGAATTGTCCACAGCTTCATTTATTAATGCATTACGCAGGTTCGTGGCCTTAAGAGGCCCTGTTATACAGTTTCGATCAGATCGCGGGACAAACTTCATTGGGGCAGTGCATGAACTAAAAATTCCCTCTGACCTGGTGGAAAACCCAGTATCAAAAAAGTATCTTAAGGAGAACAAGATCATGTGGGTGTTCAATCCTCCCCATGCCTCCCACTTTGGCGGGGCATGGCAAAGAATGATAGGTGCTTCAAGGAAGATACTGGACAGCTTACTCTTGAACCATAAGGGACCTTTAACGCATGAAGTTTTGACCACATTCTTGATGGAAGTTAGTGCTATTCTGAATGCTAGACCACTTGTCGCAGTATCAACTGACCCAGATGCACCACAGGTACTTTCACCAGATATGTTAATTCATCAGAAAACCATACATACCTCACAGTTGGATATTCCAGTGTTCGGGACTAAAGACGCCCTCAAGAGTTCCTGGAAGCAGGTGCAGTACTTGGCAGATCAGTTCTGGCAGAGATGGCGCATAGAATACATGCAAAGCTTACAGATTCGTCAGAAATGGTTGACAGAAGGTAGACAGTTTCAGAAAGGAGATGTGGTTCTCATGCGTGACGCTTCTTTAGCCAGAAATCAGTGGCCCCTTGCTATAGTAACAGAGACCTTTGAGAGTAATGACGGACGCGTACGCAAGGTGAAGATATTTTGTGGCCGTAACAGAACATTTTATGTGAGACCTGTTACTCAGTTGTGTTGTCTCATTGAAGTAGCTAAGTAGTTAAAGCCCCATCTTTACTTTGGTAAAGTCATTGTGCATTATTTGCTCGATATGTAATGTTGTGATTTCAGCAAGTTGTATTCATGTATCAGTTCTGTTGCATCAATTGTACATACTTAGTTTGTGTGGCTAGGCATTATTCTAAATGTAACACCTTTTTTAATTTTAAACTTGATTGGCTTCTTCGAAGCCAGAGGGGGAGTGTAGTGGCGCCGGAATTGATTCCGGAGTTGGTTTGATTAATAGTTTGTTTACAGTTTGTTCCGGCATAAACCATGCTTGTTTTTTCCTACAAAAATTGATTTGCATTTTGGTGTTTGTGCCCCAAAAGAGTAAGTACACTGTGTATAGTTATCATTTGTCATGTAATTAATTATAAAACATAATGCTTTCATGTTGTTAGTGATGCTCATGCCTGTTTTCATGATTTGAAATGTGCGTTGATATTTTGTTCGAGTATGGCGTGCCGTGAATGTCATTATTTCGATGTTTTGATATTAAGCGATTATAATGTGTTTATCTTATACTGTCTTGTGAGATTATATTATGTAATTAATGTTGTTCCCACATGTATGTTTCAGTTTCCACCCTCGGTGAGAGAGGTTTGTAAGTTTGACCAATAAACTTTTCCGAAAATTTGTTGCGTCGTGAACACACTTACATCATTAAAAAATCTTCTTCTCAAGAACCACTGAGCCAGAAAAGCTGAAACTTATGTGGAAGCATCCTGGGATAGTGTAGATTCTAAATTGTTCAAATCATGACCCCCGGGGGTAGGGCGGGGCCACAATAGGGAATCCAAGTTTTACATCGAAGTATATACGAAAAATCTTTAAAAATATTCTTCTCAAGAACCACTGAGCCAGAAAAGCTGAAACTTATGTGGAAGCATCCTGGGATAGTGTAGATTCTAAATTGTTCAAATCATGACCCCCGGGGGTAGTGCGGGGCCACAATAGGGAATCCAAGTTTTACATCGAAGTATATAGGAAAAATCTTTAAAAATCTTCTTCTCAAGAACCACTGAGCCAGAAAAGCTGAAACTTATGTGGAAGCATCCTGGGGTAGTGTAGATTCTAAATTGTTCAAATCATGACCCCCAGGGGTAGGGCGGGGCCACAATAGGGAATCCAAGTTTTACATTGAAGTATATAGGAAAAATCTTTAAAAATCTTCTTCTCAAGAACCACTGAGCCAGAAAAGCTGAAACTAATGTGGAAGCATCCTGGGGTAGTGTAGATTCTAAATTGTTCAAATCATGACCCCCGGGGGTAGGGCAGGGCCACAATAGGGAATACAAGTCTTACATTGAAATATATAGGAAGAATCATTAAAAATCTTCTTCTCAAGGAACCACTGAGCCAGAAAAGCTGAAACTTATGTGGAAGCATCCTGGGGTAGTGTAGATTCTATATTGTTCAAATCATGACCCCCGGGGGTAGGGCGGGGCCACAATAGGGAATCCAAGTTTTACATCGAAGTATATACGAAAAATCTTTAAAAATATTCTTCTCAAGAACCACTGAGCCAGAAAAGCTGAAAATTATGTGGAAGCATCCTGGGGTAGTGTAGATTCTATATTGTTCAAATCATGACCCCAGGGGTAGGGCGGGGCCACAATAGGGAAACATTGAAATATATAGGAAAAATCTTTAAAAAACTTCTCAAGAACCACTGGACCAGAAAAACTGAAACTTACGTGGAAGCATCCTGGGGTAGTGTAGATTCTAAATTGTTCAATTCATGGCCCCCGGGGGTAGGGCGGGGCAACAATAGGTATTACAAGGGGGGAAGTCTGGTAATGAACAGCATGGCCAAAGTTACTCAGGTGAGCGATGTGGCCCATGGGCCTCTTGTTTTTAGTTGAGATAATTATCTTTCTGTTACACAGGAATGCTGACTATTTTTAGAGGCATTGAATTAATTATCTTTCTTTTAACACATGAATGCTGACGTTTTTTTTTTTGGGGGGGGGGATTAAGGTAATTATCTTTCTGTTAAACAGGAATGCTGACGTTTTTGGGGATTGAGGTACAGCCTGACGTTTATGCCTGGATGATAGTTGTCGTTCTGCCGATTAACTCCGCCATTAACCCCATATTGTATTTGTTGACTACATTCATCAAAAACAAGGTCAGATTATGTAGTTTATTTGGTTTGGAAGTTATACTAGAAGATTTTGTGCAATAGCTTAACGTCTCTCTATGTTAGAAATTATTCTTTAAATTTTTTGAATTTCTATAAAGGTAAGTAAACATGATAAGTACGTTGAGATACATAATATTTGATGTGAGAGACGGCATCACTACGACTTTTTCCTGATTTTATTCTTAAAAAAATTGATTGACGTTAAAATTGCTTTCCTGAACTTTAATGTGTCTTGGTGGTTGAATATTACTATAAATTGCATCCATAATCTAGCTACAAACTCAATGTAACAAAACTTTGTGTAAGTCACCACTATTGCAAGTTCAAACTAGTAGAGCTTAAGTCTCCTTGGAGACGAACGTTTACTTCCAAGCATAACCAAGTCTGAATATTAATACAAAATCTTCAAAATTTAGAAAGGAAAAGACGGAGAAAACATTCCACAGATGAAAAATATACAAGATTCAGCCAAGGTAATTACAATTTTCAATACCTATATTGTGTCTATCTTTGCAAAAAAAGTCCCCCCCCCCCGTTCCGACGCATATGCAATTAACTTTTGAACCGTAGTCGGTAGTAAGTCCTACTATTATTAATGTTCTTCAAAAGATATAAACAATCTACATTACTACCAAAGTTCATTCGGAATTTCGAATACTCCCCGAAATAGACTAAATCAATTGTGTCTTGTTCAGGAACTATTGTTCACACAACAATTTGATCACGACCGGGGGGGGGGGGGGGGGGGGGTTATGTTAACAACTCATCTATATTTGCTTAGAATTTTCAATGATTTAGAACTTTCCAGATTAAGATATTTTACTTAATTTTGAGTGTGATTCGCATCAAGCTTTGAATTGTTGACCATTCATCGTCATTTTTAGTGTAAATGAAACATTAAGGTGACTGCAAATAACTGAAATGTTAATAAAATGGAAAATAGCCTGCTTTATTTAGAATATTTGAAATGCTCATTTCATCTTCGCTACCAGAATTATTAGGTCGATTGTTGACGGGGTTTTTTTCCTCACAAGATCCATATTTTGTATGTATATTTAAGATCGTTCGGTCTGATGATTTACTCTCAGAGATTAAAAAACAAAATCTTCTGCGAAACCTAGAATTAATTATCAATGTCTTATACCTTTTCGTAGTTGAGATCTGAAAGCACCAGTCAAAGAACCATTAGTACCGTGTCAGGGTCTTATTCCGATAGCAGTGATCTTCAAAACCGTCCTTCAGATCAAAGGATCGAATCACAGACGGAAAAAATCACGAAAAAACAGGAAACGATCGAGTCGCAACAAAAAAGGATCGAGTCACAAGAAAATCGAGTCAAAACAGGAAAGGATATAGCCACCACAGAAAAGGATCCGGTCACCACAGAAAAGAGTCCGATCACCAGAGAAAAGGTTACGGTCACCATAGGAAAGGTTCCGATCACCACAGGGAATCAGCCGCAAACAAAAGTAAAGCTGTCTCCATTAAAGGGCCCACCATATCAAATCTCTTAATAGTGTCATCTGCGTTTATTATGTAAATATAGGCGTACCCTTTGTGTTAATTTTAGGAATATAATTTTCGAAATTTGTCACATTACCTGTAGCTGTGAACTTTGCATATTAAATTTAGCATTTAGCAAGAGAAGGGATACTGGTGGAGGAACTTTGAACACGCAGTTTTACCCCGCTTTTAAATTCAATCTATTCTAATGCCTTGAAAGAAACATCACTTACTGTGTTGGTTTTCTAGTAATGTGTACAACATGTATGAATCTTCTTGACATTTTGTTTTATTCTTGGTAACATCTATATAACTTGTCGTTGACGCGTCTGTATTAGTAGTAAAATAAAAGTAAAATTTTAGAACAGTATATTTCCTTGTGTTTGTTAAGACTTTATTTGATTGGCCTGTGGTGTCGGTTTTTTTCATACCTGTCGTTTTTTGTCATTAAAATAAGCGCATATTTTTACCACTTATCCCCTTGTTTTTGTGATTACGATAGTTTTCTAGAAACATATGAAGAAAAGTTTAATTAAAGCTCAAATTTTGTTTTCAGACACTGAAATTCTTTATTGAAGTCTGTAAAAAATTCAAGAAGTTATGATTGCCGCCAAATTTTTCAATGTCTTACACGAAATTGAAACAGTGTGCTCTCTTACTCATTTTTTTCCGTATATTGTTTCAAATAATAGATATTTCGCATTGAAATACAATATTTAAAAAAAGGTTTTTTTTCAATATATCTATGTAGAACTAGCTTTTAACTTGGATTTTTTAAATACTATATGAGCTGTCCAATGTGAAAAGGGCCCGTAAGGTAAAAATTTTCAAAATTGACTTTTTAATGGATTATGGTAGATTATAGTGTAAAATAACCAAATATAAAGTTTGATTCAAATATTCAGAATAATTACTGAGATATAGGGAATCAAAGGTTAAGAAAATGTTAAAATTACCTTGAAAAATGACGTTGAAAAATGACGTTCAAACTGACGCTTTTATTGTATATCCCTCTCAGAAATATTTGAAATATGTATCTGATTGAAAAAAAAACATTACTTTATCACACGAAAATATGCATGAAAAATTTATGAATAAATCTCCTGCTTTTATTTTACATGCAATATTTGATATAGTTGTTTTCGTTAAAGTATTATATCTAAATTATAAACTAGTTGACGAAACCGTTTCATTGTTATTTGTGAAATTTTATAAAGAAGAGGTGTTTTGGACTCTGTATTAGACGCAAGTTACATGTACATTTTAAGAGTGTCGACATTTTTGCATGTCACACAAATGTCCATTTTGGTCGACTGTAAAAGACATGATTTTAAAAATCCGATAAAAAA